TTCTCAGAAAAGTCCAGAGTTCTTGCACAGCACAAAACAAAAACGATGCTGCAAAGGTAACGGCTCCCCAAACAGAACACGCAAAGATAAAGAAAAAAGAATGTTCGGTGGTATTCCCTGCTATTTTCTTGCACGCGGGTTTTCGCCTGCTCTCAGGCTCTTCTTTTTCTTATTGTGAAAGAAGCGGCATATGATTGGGCAATTCCTTATGCGTGTTCTTTCTTTTGTGCTTTTTTCTTTGTCTGTTTTTGCGGGCGAAGCCGCAACGGGTTATCTAGTCTCTCTGAATACCCCTTACTTCTCTGCCTATACTACAGCTATGGGTGTGGAGCGACGATGATTATCCTTGCAGCAGCAAAAACAACTTAGTAGCACACCGCAGTGCAGCAGCACTTCCATAAGAGCACGCTAGTGAATATGTACTGAGGGCTTCCACAATTGGACCTTTGTATGTGACGCTTGGATCCTGTACTTCCTCATCCATTACTGGACGTCCGGCCACTATTGTCGCTTTCCGGAAGTTCCCTGACTTTCCTGGGACTTTGATGCAAACTAGGACCAACTTACAGACAGGCGGGACTCGACATCTACTAAATTTCCTAACCTACCAGTACCTACTGGAGTCCACCTGGGTGGCCTACCGACGTACTACAGTAGGACTGGACCCTGCTTGGGACACAGCAATATGGTACGTTGGATCTGGGACTGGGACTGGAACTGGTACCTGGCTGGCAGGTGAATCTTGGACTGGGACTGGAACTGGGACCTGGCTGGTCATTGTGACCTGAGTCCTACCGTCCAGGGATCGAATCCTGGCACACAGAATCACTTTTTCTGCTGCCAAAACTGAAGCTCTAAGCTTGTGTACTTGCCTGCTACCGCTAGCCGACCAACTCCAGATTATCAGCCTACCGTCCCACACGCTTTGGTTCGAAACCCAGCGGCCACACTACAAATACAAAAACTGACTTAAGAAAAACTGAGTCCTGCTGGTCGGGCATCGACGCTTCGGTTGGAAACCCAGCGGCCACACTACAAATACAAAAACTGACTAAAAAAAACTGAGTCCTGCTGGTCAGGGATCGAATCCCGGCAGCTCCAATCATAAGAAAATGACAGCACAGCAACATGTCGTGTTGGCCTGCGTCCAGCTCCCCTCCCTTGGCCTCAATTTATATGAGAATCAAGGATGGAAATACCGTCTTCACCCGAATAGAACGCCCGGTAATTATCGCCGTATGTGGGCTGAAATTTGTGCCAAATACAGCTATAATGACCGGGCGTTATATTCGGGTGAAGACGGTAGTACCGTTCACAACGTACACAGACGAAGCATAAAGTCACTGTTAACCTTCGCTAAACTCCCTTTGCATAACCTGCCGAACCTCCGCTAAATTTCTCACTAAGGGATGAAGCTGTAGTTTGCTCTCTTAAAAGGAAAGAAAGGGGGGAGGGGAGGAGGGAAGGGGGGGAACGATGTAATAAAACGGATGGAGCTCATGCGCGCGCGCGCGCGCGCGCGCGCGCGAGAGAGAGAGAGAGAGAGAGAGAGAGAGAGGGGGAGAGAGAGAGAGAGGGGGGGGGGGGGAGAGGAGGGGGCACTTCATGTAGAGTACAGAAAACTTCCAAACTGCACATTATGTGAGGGGTTAATATTGCGGAGGTCAGGAGGACACAATGTGCAAGTAACAATAGACACGAAGCAACCTCACGGTTGCTCTTGCAAAAAGCGATCATAAGCTGCCTCTTTGTTTCTTGCAACTCTTTTTTCTTTTCTTTTTTTTTTTGGCTTGCAACTTTGCAACTTACGAATGATTAATGTGACATCGCGACTCATTGAAGCTTAGTTCAGTGTCACTGACTCGTTGAATAAGGTTGGAGAGCTCTGGCTGACGTTGTGAGCGAACTCCGTATTTGTGTGTATCATTTGCAGCTCATGAATGAGATTCTGGGGTATTTATTGTACAAGCCGTCGTTGATCGACCGTCCGGGAACCTGGAATTATGGGCAGCTTTCGCCGGAGTACCTCGAAGGCAGGATCTTGGTTTCCACGAAGCTCCCGCCTGAGTTCTATGAAAGACAAGTAGTACGGCAGGAGGGGCCGGGTCGTGGTGGTTGTCAAACCACTGAAAACTGTCAAATGGATCAGGGGGGACATTCTACCGCTAGGGAGGGTGACTTGTCTCTTTGTCATAATCCGAGAAGTGGGGAGCAATTACAACCATCGGCGTCGAACTTACGGAATGGGATAACCTTGCTGGGGTCCAAGAACTGTGTATCACAGCAGAGAGTCGATACAGCGAGGGGTGACGACGAGAGTGATGAATTTGTGATTACAAAGGGTAAAGGCAGTGGGCAGTCAGGGCGGCTACCCGGTCGTGGCTACAGCGAGTGGGGTAGAGAGATCCCTGACTTCAACGCGTCGGGATTGATGTCGAAGAGCTTCCGGTCTGGACACATGATGCCACTCAACCTTGAGAACTTATGGGAGTGTGAGATCGAGGAAGTGAATGAAGCGGAGGATCCGAAATTCAAATCAGCGCATCTGCGACAACTTATACTGCTTTATGCTGCTCGCTTGAGTCGCGAGAGGCTTAGTGCTGGCTGTCCCGCGGATGCAGTCAACAAGATCTTCAGCGTTTCCGAGCCGCAAATGATGATGATGAAGGATCAAATGCCCATGGACATCATTAGGTACGTTCCCGATGTATGCTTTATGGACCACCACCCTCATGTTTAGGCCTGACTGTCAGTTGCTTTGCGCTAGTTGAATGAACCTGGACACTGCGTCAGTCTAGGCTAGTGACATCTGATTAGTGAAGTGGGAAATCAGTGAGGAATGCCCCGCCAGTGAGGAATGCTCTATCAGTGAGGAGTCGGACGGCTATTTTTAGATCTTTTTTTTGCTACCCTGCTACCCACAGATGTTTCTCTGCTTTTGCCATGCAAACAGGAGAAAGCTATCCTTGCAAGAGACTCTGCTGTCACATCCACCCTTGATGGGAGACTGAACCCTAAACCCCAAACCCAAAGCCCTCGGGTAATCGCTCCATTCAGCACCCTATGTCTACGGTACTGTGTGTCAATTTAGGAGGCGCTGCTCTGGTAAAACTGTTCACTTATCGCTGTTGTAGTTTTGTCTTATCCGTCTTGTTGACTTTCTGTGCTAACTTATGTTGGACTAAGTTGTTGACTCATGGTGCTCTCTCTCTCTCTCTCTCTCTCTCTCTCTCTCTCTCTCTCTCTCTCTCTCTCTCTCTCTCTCTCTCTCTGTGCTTATAGATCGATTTGTTGTTACAGTATTCTTGCTGAGTTTCTGTTGTTTTGTTTCCTGCCTGTCACTTGTGTCTTTACGCTGCTCTTCCTGGTTTGTGCTGTGTTGTGATGGGCATTTCTGAACTTGGAACGGGATTCCGATTTCAACACGAGTGTCGGTCAAATCCTCCCCCTCCACCTCCATTCTTCCAGATTCTCCCAATGTCTGGTCCTTCGTCAAATCCATCTGGGGGCTAGACATTGTTGGTGGGCATGGGTGGTGAATTTGATTATGTCGATGGTTCGAACCCTGGGATCGCAGTTTTACTCAGAAGCATCTTGTGAGGGTTTACCCACTGGACTACGGTTTCGATAATTACAATCCATTCATTGCGTGGTCGGTTGGGGCTCAGCTCGCATCATTCAATATGCAAGATTGGGGTCGTCCTTTGTGGGTTTTGTCAGGTCTCTTTCAAGCAAATGGAGGTTGCGGCTACGTCAAGAAGCCCGGCATACTGTTGAGGAGGAGGCAAGTCTTATTACCTAATAATGACAGAGAGGTGCACCTCTGCGACATGGGATCAGATGTCAGAGCAGAGGACCGCGTGCACGATTGGTATCCCGGTGCTGTAGATTGCCTGCAAAATGGATCTGTCATAGATCCATCGTCAGCTTTGGTACACAGAACAAACAACGGCTACGTTTCCAGTGGAACAGTTGAATTGCCATTCTCTTCATCAATGTCTGTGAAGTTGACGCTGCAGGTATGGTATGAAATGCTTCATGTGGGCAAAGGTTTTTTTTTTTTTTTTTTTTTTTTCCCTTAAGGCTACCAGAGTGGCCGGGGACCACTTGCCCAGCAGGGCAAAAAAAAGAAAAAAAAAGGTTTCAAGTTTTTAGTACTTTTTACTTTATTTTTTATTTAAAATTAGGCAATGAATTTCGATGTGGCCCTGAGGCAAAATTTGGTGAGGGATTTCGATGAGACCCTGAGCCGGGCCGCCGGGGTCACCTTTACTTTTTATTTAAAATTTGGTAAGAGATTTTGATAGGACCTCGTTTAGCCCTTGCACCGCAGGGCAGCCCGCGCAAACAGGGTGACCTGGGCGGCCCGGCTGGTAGCCTTTTTTTTGTTTTGTTTTTTCAAGTCCCAGGCAAAGTTCTTCTGGAAAATTTTGAGTGTATATGTGCTGCACTTTCTGGAAATGTGTGTTTCTGTGCGTGTACGTGTGTGTGTGTGTGTATGTGTGTGTGAGTGCTCTGCTTTTTTTCTTTTGTTCTCTGTCTCCTCCGCTTCCTTTTTTTTCTCTTACAGTTTTCTGTATACGACGAAAAAGCTCTCCTGCTAGACATACAAGATTTCAAAATTGAAATGCTTATCAGTCAGAGAGTGACTGACGATCTGCAGAAAGTTGTCATAGTAAGCACTCTTCGCACATGGAAGAGTACGGGGCAACTGGGATATGGTGTGGTGTAAAGGCAAACATGCAATCCAATCGCACATGCATGCAATCCAATTGCACATGCATGCGTTCGAATCGCACATGCCAGAGCACACAAGTACACACGGTTCACCAAGATCGCAAAATGCCAATATGCATGCAATCCAAACAGGAAGATTAAACCACCCCCAGAACCAAAAGAAGAAGGAAAAGTGAAAAACACTGAAGCTGCTGAATGACAGGAGATCTCTAGGGGGAACACCCCATCCCCTTCCCCCCCCCCCCCCCCCCCCCCCCCCCCCCCCCCCCCCCCCCCCCCCCCCCCCCCCCCCCCCCCC